ACTGTTGTTTGGAACGTTATTTTGGGAGTTTTTGGGACTGAGGTAATGTTTTTAGTTCACCTCGCCAAAGGGCGTTTGACCGCCGTGTTTTGTGAAGTTGTTTTTATGTCTGAAAGTTGGGTTTGGTTTGATAGATCACGGGTGATAGATTCCGGTGTTGTTTCGATGTCTGAGAGTAAGTTTATATCTATATTGTACTAGCCACTAATTATAAATAATTTTATAGCTAGTTAAACCTGCCAAAAACATTTTGTGTAATAGGTGACTAAGCGGTAAAACCGCGAAAATCTCAGCACAGGGCGGTAGATGCATTGTTAACCCAGGCAGCGTTGAACGTGTTAAGGGGTTATAAGCTTGCTAGCAGGCCTGTAGGCTTGTTAAGGGGTTATAAGCTTGCTAGCAGGCCTGTAGGCTTGTTAACACGTTCAACGCTGCCTGGGTTAACAATGCATCTACCGCCCTGTGCTGAGATTTTCGCGTTTTTACCGCTTAGTCACCTATTACACAAAATGTTTTTGGCAGGTTTAACTAGCTATAAAATTATTTATAATTAGTGGCTAGTACAATATAGATATAAACTTACTCTCAGACATCGAAACAACACCGGAATCTATCACCCGTGATCTATCAAATCAAACACAACTTTCAGACATAAAAACAACTTCACAAAACACGGCGGTCAAACGCCCTTTGGCGAGGTGAACTAAAAACATTACCTCAGTCCCAAAAACTCCCAAAATAACGTTCCAAACAACAGTAAAGTGTTGTTTAAATTATGTCATCTACTACTGGGGTTTATACAATGACGCTGTTGAATTGCTAAGCGTATAGCCCCTGCCATCTATAGGAGAACATAGTAAACGTTCCAATTTTTTATTTTTTTTTGCCACGAGTATACTCGTGTTTCGCGGCCGTGCGTTTTGCAGGTTCGAACGAGTATACTCGTGTTTCGCGTTGAACGTGTTAATGTAAGCGGCTATAGTACTAGAGCTACTGTAAATGCAGGTCAAATGCTCATATGCAACACACAAGTGCACCGCATTTCCGCCCTGTGCTGCGTGCACAAACAACATGAATAAGAGAATTTATTAACTGGGTTTATTCTAAACACGAACCTTTCTCCGCTATCCTGGGACTTACTATGTATCACAATACTCTGTATTAAACTATTATAACCTGTTACAAAATTTCGAAGTGACGAGCGGTGATATTTCGAGCGCCATTTCTGTTGACCTATGACCCACAATTTCGACCCTTGCCCACTATGCTGATTAATGGCTCGTTATTTACTCGATGTTAGTAACGTCTTTCAAATAATGGACCCTATCACTAACTCTAACCAGAACCCTAACCTAATGTGTAATCTTATAACCTAACCCCAGTAACCATAACCTTAGCTAGCTCTATCGATTATTCAGTGTAGCAGGTGCATTAACACTCACACACTACTCTGCTATACCGCCAGAGCGAGCCGTAGTGTGAAAACTTCTACGACATTACTGCGGTTACCATGACGACAACCTTGCAGGTGGCGCCGGTGTTGCTATGGCCGGATACCTGCTGAACCGCTCACTATCATTGGTCGATACAGCGGTGGCACTGCAGAAGCCTGGGAACGGGTCGTACGAGAAGCGTAAGATGGCGGAGCAGGCCCAGCAAGCCGCGCGATCTCCGCTCACCGTGTTCGGAGAAGCCAAGAAGAAACTCAACGACCTGTTCGCCGAGATCGAACGATACACGCGCGAGAGCTCCATCTTCCTGTCAGGTGAGTCAGATTTACCTTCCTCTCGTTAGATCTACCTTCCTCTCATTAGATCTACCTTCCTCTTATTAGATCTACCTTCCTCTCATTAGATCTACCTTCCACTCGTTAGATCTAGCTTCCTCTCGTTAGATCTAGCTTCCTCTCGTTAGATCTACCTTCCTCTCGTTAGATCTACCTTCCTCTCGTTAGATCTAGCTTCCTCTCGGGTGTTTTAGATCTACCTTCCTCTCGTTAGATCTACCTTCCTCTCGTTAGATCTAGCTTCCTCTCGGGTGTGTTAGATCTACCTTCCTGTCAGGTGTGTTAGTTAGTCTATGTGGGTGAGTAGTGAGTGGTATCTCTCTCACGTGTATATCTTACCTGCGGCAGGTGTTAACGATGCGAACATCGTGACGAGCGATGAAGCTCAGGTGGTCGTACAGTTCCTACAGAAGATCAGCGGCATCAGTGAGGTCATCAGCCGCAAACAGATGAAGGTCGCCTTCTTCGGAAGGTATGTGCATCTCCTCCTCCTCCTACTCCTCCTCCTACTCCTCCGCTTCTGTCACTGCAGAGACGAAAGCCAGGGGGCGCCGTCGTAGTTAGAATCATCTTAGCCTTACGATATCTTTTGCTAAATATTACCAAATGCGGTAGCAAAGTGGGTATGTTGCCGTGGCTCTCTCTTTCTCTCCCCTCTCTCTCTCTCCCCCTCTACGCTAGCGCTTTCATGCTTCCGTCTCTTTCCCTCTCTCTCTCTCCCGACCATCTCTCACCTTCTGCTTGTAGGACGTGAGTAACGTAAGAGTACAGCGGGTGAATGCCTTGCTGGCAGACAAGAGTCCTCTCTGCCCTGCTCTCCCTCTCTCTGGCCTCTCTTCTCTCCTTGCGTCTCTCTTGCTCTCTCTCCTCCTCTCTCTCTCTCTCTCTCTCTCTCTCTCTCTCTCTCCCTCTCTCTCTCTTTCCCCCTCTCTCTCTACATCTATCTCTCTCTCTACAACTCTCTCCTTCTCTCTTGTAGGACGAGTAACGGTAAGAGTACAGTGGTGAACGCCATGCTGGCAGACAAGATCCTACCGACTGGCATCGGCCACACGACCAACTGCTTCCTGCAGGTCGAGGGAACAGACAGCAACGAGGGATTCCTGCTGCTGGAAGATAGCAATGAACCACAGCCCGTGGAGGTGAGGCAGGCAGGCAGGCAGGGGGAGGTGTGAGGCAGGATGGGGGGGAGTGTGAGCAGGCAGCAGTGTGGGTGAGTAGGCAGCGGGGGAGGCAGGCAGGATGGGGGGAATGTGAGGCAGGCAGGGGTGTGTGTGATGCTACAACAAACATGGTATATTGGAATTGTCAGGCTGTTTATACTATTAATACTACAACACCACACATATTCCAACCTGCTAGACAGAAAACTGCTAAGCTGCTGAGTAGAGGTGTGATCTTACTGATGTATGTATGCAGTATGTATGTATGCAGGGTTAGAAATGAACTTTTGAACAAGGGAGTCCAATGGACTCTCTGCCCTCAAAAAGAAACGGACGGCCGCAGCAAAATGAGGGAGTCCGTAGTCTGAAGTTCAAAACTAAAGCACAACAACAATAACGCATGTGCGTATTTTGAAGATTCGTGCGATGCACGTCTGCCAAATTTTCTTTGGACATTTGCTGAAAAAAATACAGTAATTCCGTGAGGCCTTGCTCTGGAATGAACGTGTTAGTATAGCAGAATTTTCAGGGAGTCACACAGACTCCTACATATGTCAAATCAGGGAGTCCGACAGTAAATCAGGGAGTATTTGACTCCGGACTTGCGTTAATTTCGCACCCTGTGTATGAGTGCAGTATGTATGTGTGCAGTACGTCAGTATGTAAGTATCTGTGATCTTTCAGTCGGTCGGCCATCTCGCCCACGCTCTACTATCGTCGGACAGCCGGACACTGGTCAGAGTGTGCTGGCCGAAGGAACACTGCAGCCTCCTAAAGGCAGACGTCATCCTGGTAGACAGGTAAGCAGCTTCGTTAACACTGCCTGACTACAGTCATACCTGTGTGTAAGGGACATCAAGTTACAGTTGTACCTGTATGTAAGTAGTTAAGGACATGAAGTTTCAGTTGTACCTGTGTGTAAGGGACATTGAAGTTACAGTTGTACCTGTGTGTAGGACATCAAGTTACCAGTCATACCTGTGTGTAAGTGACATGAAGTTACAGTTGTACCTGTGTGTAAGGGACATCAAAGTACAGTCATACCTGTGTGTTAAGGGACATCAAGTTACAGTTGTACCTACAGGTGTAAGGACATCAAGTGACAGTGTTACCTGTATGTGAAGAAGCATCAGGTTACAAACAAAACTATGTTAGGGTCACTGAAAGTAAAAACAAAAGGAAAAAGTGTCTTTATAGACAGGTGTCTGTTCTATAGAGGTGTCCTTTATAGACAGGTGGCTGTTCTGCAGAGGTGTCCTTTTATAGACAGGTGCTGTTCTGCAGAGGGGTGTTTCATTGTATGACCTGCTGCCGAGGGACAATAGTAAATTCTCAAAAGTTACTTATAGACAATACCTATGCGTTTTTTCTTTTATAGAGCTGTTCTATGCACAGGGTTTGAGAACTGGTGTTAACTGTGTGATTAGAGTAATTAAGTGTTGGACGCCTAGTGCGCAGCTCGTGCAGTCACGAGCGTGTTGTACTTCGCTTCGCAGTGCATGGCGGCGGTGGGCGCGTCACCGTCGTGAATGTGCTTGTGTTTTTGTCATCAGTTCCCGGCATTGACGTGACGCCGAACCTGGATACGTGGATCGACTCAGCACTGCCTCGATGCCCGACGGTTTCGTGCTGGTGGCCAACGCCGAGTCTACCCTCATGCGACGGTAAGGCAGTCGTACACGGCGGGGTGGGGGGTGGCCACGCTGAGTCTACCCTCATGCAGACGGTAAGGCAGTCGTACACGCGGGGGGGGGGTGGTCGACGCCGAGTCTACACTCATGCAGACGGTAAGGCAGGTCGTACACGCGGGGTAAGGTGGTGTCACAGGTAGACGGTAAATTTCTTATAGACGTGACAAAAACGTAGTCAAGTTATGAGTTTCTCATATGCAGTGTACAGAGGTCAGGCCTACGAGAATATGTTAATGTTACGACTAATTTGGCTTCTGACAAAAAGCCCCGGATTATAAAATTCTGTTTTACAGTTTGGAAAGTGTTGGAAAATATGGTTATTGTCCTGAACACAGACTGATGTGTTGTGTTTGGTCAGTTGAAGGCAATCATTGAAATTGTGCATGACGTCTGTTTTTGCTTGTGAGGCATTTGACATCAAAACGTTGTTTTGTGGCGAGCTATAACGATGTGTCACTTAGTTAGGTAACGTGTCAGCATGACACATCGATGGCTCCTGCATGCAACATTCACTGTTAGTTCATAGCGGCATCAGGTTGCAGTGCGTGGAAATTAGGAGGCTATTTGGCCAGGGGCCGCCACATTTCAACCCCCCATATATTCAGTCCATATTGGCCTATTCAGATTGCCTATCTTGCCTTTATATCAACAATATTTACCAATTTCCTACTAGTTTTTGCTTAGTGACTACTAAAAGTAACATGTTCGCAAATTCCTGTCAAACAAGTAGAACTCCACTGGTAGCAATGAAATACTGAAATACTATGAGTATGGCCTAATATACAAAAGCTAATGCTTTAATTATTAATGGAATAAATTGAACAAAATTAAGGGCCGTTCAACTTGTTAAAGGGCTGTTCAATTTGTCTAATTTCATGCCCTT